AAATAAAGTTTGAATTTAAACTCAATCAGACACATCATACTAGCACTCTGCATCCGCTCCACTTCCAAAGTAGAACCACATAGACATTAACATGTGTCCAAAACTGTAAACCACAACTTCTAGATTTTCATTCAAAAAGGCTACACAAAACATATGCTCAATTAATTTACTATGGAATTTCATTCTTGTCCTCATTCCTTATGAAGCTACCAAACAAATGCATCCTGTTTTAATGATTTAATTTCTCATTAATAAAAATAAAGGGGGGAGGGAATTATGCTCCAACTTGTGAGCTTTGTAATTGCTTGGAACTTAAAAACAGAGCAGTTCTTTTTATTTGTCATCAGAACTCTGAAGAGCCATGTTTTCTTCCCATTCAGCTTGTATATGATCATTCTCTTCAACAAACATAATAAAATTTGGCCCTCTGTGAATGCAAGCTGCAAGTCTGATGATGCACACAAAAGTTGTCACCTCCTGTCCTCCACGGCTGGCTTAAAACAGAACTGTAAAAGGATAACAAAACAGGAGAGGAAAGCACATGGAACCTATGAGATCACAACAAATGCTACAGACTGTGGTCTTCCATACCTTCTGCCTCCCAACTAACTGCTTTCAAGTTCTGCTAACTCTTCAGTCTCTCGCTCCATTACCTGACTACAGCTGGAACTTAGGTGAGAGAAAATCATCAGTTCCTTTTCAGAAGAGCAGAAAAGAGCACAAAGGTGATAAAACATCACAGTGTAACGCTTACACTAAGACGTATAATAAAACAATCATACACTTATGGATAATATAAGAGTCCGGTGAAAAGATTCACTGCTCAGGGGCTCACAAGCCCTTCAAGTCAGAGGAGTTTGAGAATAAGGGAAGCAATGCAGTTTCTTCTCTGTGAGATCACATACATGCTGTCATGTACCCTGTCAACACTGTGGACATCACCTACATCTGTCCTTTAGTTCCTTACCATTAGATAGCTGTTGAAAACTAGTGATATTGCACTAGGGCTGCCATTCTGGCTGCAGGTGTTTGTTGATACCATGCCAACAATGCAAACTCCAAATAGTACTTACACTACAATAAAAATGCAAGGAACAAACACATTTGCACTTAGGTTGTGCATACTTATTATCCTCTAACTGAAACTCAGATCTACAAAGACTACAACTCCTACTTGCTCATCACAGGTCTCCTAACAGAATAAAAACCACCTCAAGTTTGCCAGCTGAGCTGCTCAAATGAGCATCCCAATCCATGTCAGTGGAAATGAACCTGTGAAAAACATCTCAATGCAAACGGCAATTCTTTGCTAACATGGTTCAGCATAAGTCACAACACCTTCAGGCTGTACCAGTACAGACAGCAGAAAATTCATGTCTATAGCACATTACTTCTAACAATGCTGTTACTTACAAGTTTAACTGCTACTATTAGTGACAAGAGTCTTCCTAATCATTTGCTCATGTGCAAGAAGCAATTTATTAGAGACAACCAAAAACATTACTGATACCTCTACACAAATGGCTTGTAAATAAACTTACCTCTTTATTTCACAATATGGTGATTCAAAGTTTCAGCACAACATAACAATTACCTTTCTATATATTTGCATCCCTTGTGAAAGGAATACATTTGACACTGTCCATCATATTTGAAAAATCATGACAGTCAGGTGACGTTCCTGACAACTGGAAAAAGGGAAATAAAACTCCCATTTTCAAGAAGGGGAAAATGGATGACCCAGGGAACTACAGACCAGTCAATCTCACCTCTGTGCCAGGCAAAATCTTGGAGTAAATTCTCCTGGAAGGCATGCTAAGGCACATGAAAAACAACAGGGTGCTTGGTGACAGCCAACATAGCTTCACTAAGGGGAAATCCTGCCTGACCAATTTGGTGGCCTTCTATGATGGGGCTATGGAACTGATGGACAGGGGTAGAGCAGTTGATGTCATCTACCTGGACTTGTGCAAAGCGTTCGACACTGTCCTGCACAACATCCTTGTCTCTAAATTGCACAGACATCAATTTGATGGATGGACCACTCAGTGGATAAAGAACTGGCTGGATGGCCAAACGCAAAGAGTTCTGGTCAACAGCTCAATGTCCGGCTGGAGACCAGTAACGAGTGGTGTCCCTCAGGGATCAGTGTTGGAACCAGTCTTTTCAACATCTTTGTCGCTGACATGGAGAGTGGGATTGACAGTGCCCTCAGCAAGTTTGCCGATGACACCAAGCTGTGTGGTTCAGTTGATACGCTGGAGGGAATGAATGCAATCCAGAGGGACCTTGACACGCTTGTGAGGTGGGCAGATGCCAACTTTATGAAGTTTAACCATGCCAATTGCAAGGTCCTACACCTGGGTCGGAGCAATCCCAGGCACAGCTACAGGTTGGGCAGAGAAGAGATTCAGATTTCTGTGGAGAAAGACTTGGGGGGTGTTGGTTGATGAGAAAATGAACATGAGCTGGCTTCAGTGTGCGCTTGCAGCTCAGAAAGCCAACTGTATCTTGGTCTGCATCAAAAGGAGCGTGACCAGCAGGTTGAAGAAAGTGATCCTGCCCCTCTATTCTGCTCTCTTGAGACCTCACTTGGAGTACTGTCTGTAGTTCTGGTGTCCTCAACATAAAAAGGACATGGAAGTGTTGGAACAAGTCCAGAGGAGGACCATGAGGATGATCAGGGGACTGGAACACCTCCCACATGAAGATGGGCTGAGAAAGTTGGTGCTGTTCAGCCTGGAGAAGAGAAGGTTGCGTGGAGACCTCATAGCAGCCTTCCAGTATCTGAAGGGGGCCTACAATGATGCTGGAGAGGGACTTTTCATTAGGGGCTGTAGTGACAGGACAAGGGGTAATGGGTTAAAACTTAAACAGGGTAAGTTTAGATTGGGTATTAGGAAGAAGTTCTTTACTGTAAGGGTGATGAGGCACTGGAATGGGTTGCCCAGGGAGGTTGTGAGTGCTCCATCCCTGGCGGTGTTCAAGGCCAGGTTGGACAGAGCCTTGAGTGACATGGTTTAGTGTGAGGTGTCCCTGCCCATGGCAGGGGGGTTGGAACTAGGTAATTTTAAGGTCCTTTCCAACCCTAACTATTCCATGATTCTATGATTGTACAAAATCCTGTTCTTATGTAACTGTATGCTACTAGATAGGCTTAACCTTGGACACACAGAAATAAGCATACCGAGGTAACAAAACTTTTGTTATTTGAAAGAAATGCCGCTTGGTGACAAGTCTGTTTTAACAATCAGTAGCTGCTTTATAATAAAAGAAATAGTTCTTGGTTATTTCTTCAAAAGAGGGCACACTCCCTAAACTAGAGAACCTAAAGTACCACCCTAAGCTGGAAAGACTGCACCACTAAAGGGAGGCTCACTCTTGCCTTCTTTTTACCTTCACAAGCTTTTAATAACTTTGCCTGCCAATACATGAGGCAGCATGGCAACTGCAAGGTTGACATGAACATGCCATGTGACCAAGTGGAAAGGGGACAAGCTATCCCAAACCTGGTATAAACCAGATGGCAGTAGCATTTCTGGTACAAGTTTGAACAAGATCACACTCACCTTTTAAGCACACACCAAGCCCCACATTCTCCCACTGCATCGGCCCTCCTAAGGGCCCAAGCCCCATCACTCCCTCCTTCCACCGGCAGCTGAAGCGCTCCAGGCCAAGCCAGCGCCCCTGCCTCACAGAGCACAACGGAACGGGAGGACACGAGCCACCGCAGCACACCCAGCCCGCGCTCGGGCCACACGACGGGCGCGCGGTCCGGCCGTTGCGGCCGTTACCGCTGCCCTCACACCCGTTTCCCTTCCCACACAGCTGGTATACCGCAGCCGCCAGCGGCTTAACCCGCCGGGGCTGCCAGGCGGCCGCTCATGCTGCCTTTATCCACCAAGCCCTGCCGCACCGGAACGTCGAGCTTCTGAGCCTCGGAGCCCATCTCTGGTCCTTGCGGCAAACAGCGCCGCTTCCCTCGAGGGGAAGCAAAGCGAAGACCTACGCCGCCTCGCCTCGCCTTTCCTCTCTTCTCTCCTCCCGCTCCCGCCGACGTGCCGCCAAATACATCCACCTGCGTCCGCCGCAGCGTGGCCCAACCCTCTGCCGAGGCGGGGCTCTTCCCGCGCGAGCCAGGCGTGACGCCGCGCGCTAGCCCTGCGTCGTGACGTAGAGCGGTTGCGTCAAGCAGTAGCGGAGGTAACAGCGCTCTGGCGGGGTGAGCTCTGTGAGCGGGAGAGGGCGGCTCGGGGGCTTTCGGCCCCGGATTGCTGCCGGCCTGGGGAACGTGCGGGTGCTGCGGGAGGGGAGTGTCAGCCGCAGGTGGAACCGGGGCTTGGTCACGCTCCCTGCAAATGGCAGCTGCCTGCTCCGTATCGGGTCCGTTCTAGGCAGTAAAGGGCGGCGGTGATCATGTTTTGCATCCTGTCTTTGACAGTGAAATGGGGAGCGGGGCTCAGAGTAGGGCGGAGAGCTGAATTATATGTTGTGTGAACGTTATAGGTATTTTTTTTTCAGTAGTAGATAGGATACTCCTGATGGCAGCCAGTGTCAGTTCCTGGTACGAACTGTCATACCTACTCTGTGCTGTTACCCACGTATATGTATAGTGTCTCCTTAACGCCGTGAATTCAGAAATTGTGTACTGTCATGAGGGTCACTTCCACCACCTAATTAAAGAGGGAAAAAAAAAAGTTTAATGGGGTCCTTTTATATTCGTTGTGATACTTCATTTTCAAACCATTTCTGTCTATTTTTTCTGTTTAATTAATGAGTTTAATTAGGTTTTGGTGGTTTTTTTTTTGTTTTTTTTTTTTTACCAAATCAGAAGGGTTTTCCTCCTTTTTAGCATAAGTATTTCTATCTTTGCAAATTCTTTAATTTAAATGTGTACTTCTGTATCTGTCTCTCTGTTTAGACTAATGTGCAAATAACATTTATGTTTAGGTTGTTCTACCAGTTCATGTAGAATTCACGTCATTTTCCTCTCTCCCCTCCCTCTTTTCCCCCACTGATTTTGCTATTCATAACGACTGAAGGTCTTGGTTTTACTTGAAGTAGCATAATTTTCTCTGCAAACTCAGAAACTATACAGAACAGGTGTATGTAAACTGGGATCTTTTGCTTCAGTCTATCTTGGTATCAGTTCAGTAGATCAGACATTCAGAAACATACCATCCTGGTGTTATGAGAGCAGTTCTTCACCTCAATTTTCCACAAGGTGGTTCTGCTCAGAGTTCCTTTCATTATATGCACAGATGCAAGTTGCATTGTTAACCTTAACAACTTGCATACAGATGCTGTATTGCTATATGTATGTCTGTGCTTACGGGTATGCTTCAATGATAATTTTGTTTCATATACTTTCTTAATTGCAAAGGCTCTTTATTTTTCTGTGTGTGTGTGTTGTAGATGGCGTTGTCAGACTCAGTCACTACATGTCTTTCTCTACCTGTGCATTATCTGATTTGCAAAGTTGGATTTGAGAAGAAAGACACCTATGATATTAATAATATTTTATCTGAAAATGGCGAAGTACGTTGGCAAGCTGTTGCAGAGCATGTATGTTACCTTGAATCAGGTTGGTGATACATGAATGCAGAATCTCAGTACAGTTCATAGCAGTCCTAGCTTGGTTATAACATTTTATCACAGTACAGCATTAGATTTGCTGAAGATTAGAATACATACAGTTCATATCTACAAGCAGCTTTAAATTTTTCATCCACATTTGGTATTTGGTTATTGCTGGCTCCAAAGATTCATGTAATCTGTGCTACATAAGTAGCTGCTCCTTTGCTTTCTCATTCATCTTGGTTCTCAACTTCTTGTGCCTGTACATAAAGGGTTCAGTTCATGAAGGGTTCAGTTCTGCTTCTCTCCTGCCTCGTCATTGCTTTCTTCTGTGTTCTTTATATCTTTTTTCCTTTTTTTTTTTTTTTTTCAGTAAATCTAAAACACGCTGGTGCCATCAGTATTCCTGCTATTGCTTAGGCTCTTTTTTGTTTCCCCAACTTTAGCTTGTTCAGAAGTACAAGCTTCTGTACTTCTGGTTCTCCTTCTGTTTGTAGAACATTTATAATTAGTTTGTTAATTGTTTTAATCAAAAGTATTTATGCCCTGATGAACTAACTGAATTTTAATTTGCCAAATTGCATCATACAACCTCTATTACTTATTTCCAGAAATGATACATACTTCTGCCTCAAGCAGTATCTTTCAGTAAATCAGAAGAATTTCTTTTCCTATAAAAATGTCCCACCAAAGAGGAGCAGTTGATACCACACTGTAAGGTATCATATCCATCTGCACTCTTTAAAGGGTATAGGTGGTGCAAGTTGACTGATCCCTCTGAGCCTGCACTAGCTTCCATCTTGATGTGGAATTTATGTGCACTAGTAGGTTCTTCCCATTTCAACAAAATCAGAACATAATAACCCTCTTCCATTAAGTTTTGGGGTTTTTTGTTTTGTTGTGGTGGGTTTTTTTTTGTTTGGTTTTTGGTTGGTTGGTTTTTTTGGTGGTGGTTTGGGTTTCAGTTGGTTTGGTTTTGGTTTGCTTTTTTGGTGAAGGTACTTGATCTTACCTGGTTGCACACTACACTTTTGCTTTTCTGTATCTTATCTATTTTGGATAGTAAGTTGTATTGTATTAATTGTGCTAAAATAGTTTGGGTAAAATTCTTTGTCATAAATATGTACACAAGGTTTTACTCCCTGTGAGTTTTAAAATATTGGATCTTTGGAAGGTTTGGTACTCTAATCACCTTCTGTTTTTCAATTTAAGATCAAAGTGTGGATTATATCAAAAGTATACGATCATTAGGACCTGTATGTGAATCTGTTTATTTGCACTTCAAATCTCTGACCAAGGAGCAATTTGTAATTCAGTATGCATTGTGGTTCCACTGGACAAACTGCACAGAGGTATGGCTATTTCTGTTTACAATTTGTATTTTGGTATATGAACCCTTTGGGGAAGTTTAATTTCAGAACACAGAAGAGATATCAATGTACGAAAATACTTAGAATTTGTAACTGATTGTCATTCTTTATACATACTTGCTTCTAATTTTCCTGACTTTCTAATTAGGTTTTAAATCAGAGAACATGAGGTGCTAGGCCTATTCTAACCTAAGATGGTAGGAATTTATTTTTCTAATAATCTGTGTTTAGTACCAAGTTTTACCATGTAAAATTATTGTTGATAATTTTCATAGATGTAAGGCACTAGATACATTGTGACCGAAAATACAAGAGGTTCTCTGGGGAAGTTTCTTTCCAGGCATCTACATTTTCATGTTGTTGGGATGGTTTTCTTTCTGCATTTATATAGCAACTATAACAGAGGAATATTTAATCTTCTCTATGCTTTTGACCATTTGATTGTTCCTTCTGACTGTTTAACACAGCATTCTTCCTCTTCCCCATCATACAGTTATTTCTTGAAATATTTGAGGTTCTGCAATATACACAAACTACAGAAGTTGCTCTTGGATTAATGAAGCTAACATCATGCCTGGAACGAGCCTTGGGTGATGTAAGTGCCAGCATGAGAAGCCTGTCACAGGTTTGGGTTTACAAGAAGAGAATAAGCTCTTACATTTAATTGCATGTTGAGAAAGTGAGGTGACACTGTACTATGGTAGTACACTAGTAGCCCAGTTGCATTTTAACTTGGACACATGTTACTTTCTGGATCCAGTTTTGCTAATGGAAACATCTGGGACTCCTTCACCTGTGCTGTTAGAGTTGCTTGTGTGAGTTTGATTTAAAAAGAGCAAAGTTTGCTCAATCAGTGTACGTATGGTAGGTCCTTATTGCGCCAACTTACTTAAGTGAAACAGGGAGCAGCATACCTTTCACAGAAGATCTGATGGTGTAGTAACTTCTGTGAGGGGAGGCAGCAGCATGTAGCATGGGTGAAATAGTCAAGTTGTGTATTTGAAATACAGAGAAGTATACTGAATTACTTATGTTATCTGATTTGCTTTTGTTTGTTTGTTTTATTTTTTAATAGGTGTATTTACTGATTGGTAAAGATTGCCCTTTCCTTCTAAGAGACTTGCTTGCTTCTGAGCAGCTTGCAGTTGTCTTTGGACAAGCTGTAGTAAGTGCATAGTTTTGAAATGCGTAATAAGTGTTGAACTGGTTTTCTTCTTGCCAAATGGCAGATTTCCAAGAGCAGCCTTTGCTTTCACTGAAGATGAGTTTACAAATTCTGTAATATATTGGAAAAACTTTCATTTTATATATGTTACAGTCTGGGGATATATGGGAAAAATAGTGACTATTGTAATTTGAAATATTTTATAGTCAAGATAATAAGTTCTTTCTTGCTTTTCTACATGAAAAAACCCTGTGTGTGTAAAATGTCACGTATCTGTCAAGGAGGTGAGCATACTGCAGAGTTGTCTGCCTCTTTCTGAGTTGCATAGCTTTAAAATACACATCTTGTGCTGTTTCTGACAAGCTGTGTTCCCCTTCACCATCACTGTAGTAAGATGCTTTGTAAGGTTTACAACACTAAAATTTTTTGAAATAGAGGAAATTAGTTTCTTCATCCTCATGTGCAAAAGCATAATAATAAGAATAAAATATTAAATTTACAGTCTGTGTAAGCAGAGTAGATGGTCTTTCGCATACAGTTTTGCAAACGTAAATTCTTTGTTAGGACAAAATATTGAATATGAACTGTCAAAGCTTGTATTGTTAGCCACTCTATTATTGTTATAAGGATTATTTATTAAATTTCGATAGAATGTGGAATAGGTCAATTCTTACAGTTAGAAAATAAAAATAAAATTTCCCTTTTTGATTGATAGTGATCTAAGGATACAGCTTTGAACACAAATTCTGTATTTTTGTTAATTTGTGTTAAATTGTAGTGGATTTACACTACAAGAAGTAAGACCTAACCTTGATCTTATTTGTTTTTGTGCAATAACTGTTTGGAATGTCTAATAATTGGTTTTGTTCTTCCTGTGTTATATTCGGTAGCATGTACAATTAAGCTGAAAGATTGTCTTTCAGAGAACACTGGGAATTGCAAGTAAAGAGTTGCTGTTACTGTGACAAGCTGTGGCCAGTTATCTTGACAGTAGACATTGTAGTTTCTCAGTAACTTCTGAAATTTTCTGTGAGGGAAAGAGGCAGGTGATAAATAACAGATTTCTTCATGCAGTAACTACTTTGCTTTTTTTAATCAGATGAATGTACTGAGGGTGTTCATTGGATCTCCATATGGTCTGAACCTTCGTAATGTTTTGTGGCATGGGTTTGCATCCCCAAAAGAAATTCCTGCAAAGTAAGTCACCAAAAAGAACCTTACTTTCTTACCAGTCAGACTTGAGAGCGCTCAAAAAGCCATTAGTAAAACGTACTGCTTGTACTGAAAAAGAAAAAAAAAGTCCTAAGGCCTCTGGCAGCATCCTGACTCTTTTCCGTTGCTGCTGCTGCTTAATTTGAGGAGAGATTTCCATAGAATACTTCAGCTGTTATAAAGTTGGTCAGTTTTAGGTCCAGTGTATTTTTTATTAACCGGAAAAACAAGAAAGCTGAAAGTCTTTTATTGAAACCTAGTTCATTGTCTGTTGGAGCAGTCAGGCATAACTCAGAATGAAAGGCAGAGGAATGGGAGAGGAGGAGCAGCAGTCAACCAGCATAGAATACAGTGATGCTTTATTCCTAATTCTGCATAGTTTTATCATGTTTGTGAATGCAGTTGTATTAACGGCCCGTACTCAAAAGAGATGGGGAACCCAGGTTTTGGATGGCCTTTGAAAGATAAAAAAAAAAACCCAAACTTTATCCTCAACCCAGAAATGTTGATTCTTTATAAAAGATTCAGTTTTATAGGCTTTTCTAATATATTATGGTATTCTCCCTAGATATTGTGCTATGCTGCTTTTTTTAACTGCAGGATTGGGTCAGTTGTTACAGACGTATCTTCTACAAAATAAATGCATTTTACTACATCGACCTTACGTGATCTTCGTTAGCTTAGAGGAGCTTGATATATTTCCAGGTAAGTATTGAACCATTAGCAAGTTTTTGTCATACTATATTTGCTATTCTTTCATTTTCCAAAAGTACAGTTGAAAATAATGCATTTTTCTCTGTCCTAAGATTGAATCTTAAAGATACCTCTACCTATATACACTGGCATAAGATGAGTAGTCATACAAGTAGTATTCTGCTCTCTTCAGACCTCACTTATTGTGCAGTTCTGGTGTCCTTAGCATAGAAAGGACATGGAGTTGTTGGAACAAGTCCAGAGGAGGGCCATGAGTATGATCAGGCAACTGGAGCGCCTCCCATATGAAGACAGACTGAGAAAGTTGGGGCTGTCCAGCCTGGATAAGAGAAGGCTGCATGGAGACCTCATAACAGCTTTCCAGTACCTGAAGGGGGCCTATAGGGATGCTGGGGATGGACTTTTCATTAGGGACTGTAGCGATAGGACAAGGGGTAACGGGTTAAAACTTAAACAGAGGAAGTTTAGATTGGATATAAGGAGGAAGTTTTTTACTGTGAGGGTGGTGAGGCACTGGAATGGGTTGCCAGGGAAGTTGTGAATGCTCCATCCCTGGCGGTGTTCAAGGCCAGGTTGGACAGAGCCTTGAGTGACATGGTTTAGTGTGAGGTGTCCTTGCCCATGGCAGGGGGGTTGGAACTAGATGATCTTAAGGTCCTTTCCAGCCCCAACTATTCTATGATTCTGTGAATCTTTTTTAATATGTAGGCAGTTCCACTGACTATTGAATAAAAAAATACTACATTCTAAAATAATTGTAACAATTTGAAATGTGTGGCATTACTGCTTTTAAAAGACTTCAACTGTATATTCCAGGTTTTTGGTGATGAGAGTCTTTTTCATGTAACAGTCATCTAATTTGCCTTTATAAAATCTAATTCTTTCCAAAATCAGTGGGTTCTAGCTGCAAGGGTCCCAGCAGGAGTGCCCTGCATCTTACTGGGTAGGTAGTGGTGAGACAGAGTAAAGAATGGTGACACATCTTCAGTATACTGATGTTTTTTTCAGGGAAGGAATTGAAGTGTCAGATTAAGATCTCACCTCTCTGGCTACAGACCTTTTTTGGTTTATTCCTACTATTTTTAAAACAGTAAGAGCATATGAGGAATCTTGGTGTCAGTGATTGTCATGACATAGTTTGTGCTATGTCATTGATTTACCAGTGGCCTGTCTGCTCACACAACTGAGATAGGGCTTTTGGGAACCAAATCGATCTGATAACATTCCAGTCATCATGTAGTATAAGTCCTATAGCTGTTGATATGCTTTGAAACAGCACCTACTGTAATAAAGTTGCAGTTGCCATTTTAAGCTTTCTTTTGGATAAGATATTTAAAATGTGCATTCGTAAGTGTGAGTTTCATTATATTACATTATATTGAAGCGCAAAGTGTGAATTTGTTATGCCAGCACAGAAAATTGATAAAGTAGGAACAATGTTCTTGTTCAAATGTTCGTACTACTGTACTGATTCTGGCTGAATTAAAATGATTAATACATATTGCACTTTTAAAAAGTATTTGAAGTAGGTAGAGAACAAGTAATTTAACACAAGCTTCGTCCAGTTGCTGTGTAGTCTTTTAATGTCAGTAAAAAGCAGCCATGACTTTTTAACTAGTTTTACTCTGTAATTCTACATTATCGCTAAAAATGCAATCTTATAAACTCAGATCCTCATCTGAAATGTAGACTACCATTGTACTTGCATAGTTAAAATAAACTGGGTAGCTTTCAAGTCTCCCTTTACAAATGCTGAAATTATCTTACATTTTCAGTGAAATACTAAGAATTAATTAGTAAACCATAGATTGTATGTAGTTTTTCAATGTTGGTTTGCTAACTTGCAGATCTTAATCATGAAGCAGTTTCCATAGCTGAAGAGCTAGTAAACCTGTCCAGTTTTGTATTAAAAACAATGATACCATTTTGGATGGCTGCTTTAACAGCTTTCAAGCAAAGCAGGTAACAGGTTTGGTTGTTTTGGTTTCTTTTTTTAATAGAATGTAAAAATAATATATTCTATATTTAAAGAATAATAGCAGCATTTTTAGATAGCAGAGGTTTTTGCTAAATCTGTTGCTTAACAATATCTAGTTATGCATTGTTGTGGTGGTCTCAGAAAGTTTGTAGACTTTATTTTATGTCAATTAGGATTATAAACTATATTTGAAACCTAAAAAGAACTACAGCAGATGTAGCAAAAACCTGGAATTTTACAAAACAAGTGGAAACAAATCTTCAATTGTTAACATTTTGTTTTCCTCACTCATGCTCCACTTTTTTGTAAGTTATTCTCATCTCTGAGCTGGCTTGAATTTGGTGGTCAGATTCTCTTGGGCACAGCTTGTCATTTATTGTTTGTTTATAAAGTACTGGTCTGGGTTGTTTGGCCTGAGAGTATAAGCCTGAGATGGCTTTAATTTCCATTAGGATTGTATTTATAAGGGAGGAAAACCTCTTTGGCTATGTCTGTTATTTTTTCAGGTATGCTGACTGTGTGATTCTCTTACTTCCTCAGCTGGAAGTTGGACTTAGACTGCTTTTCACTACAACCAATAAATGTCCAAATCGATTGCTAACAGCTGAGGTAAAATTTCTGTCTAAAGTCAATTTTGTTTCAGTGCTTAAAAATATTTGCAAAATAGATAGTCTAGAAGTATAATGTCTAAACATTTACAGATTCTCCCCCAAAATTTTTTCAGTAAGTTGTGGAACATTATTTACAAGTTTCCAGTGGAGTTCATGAATGCCTCTTATGGTTTTTGTAAAAGTATCTACCAGTAAAAGAGGTCTGAAAAGGCACTTGAAGGTTAGTGTTCATAAACAGTAATTTAGGATGGAAAGTAGATCATGTTATACATATTTTAAGAAACTTGGCACAAAATCCAGAAGTCCCTTTTGTAATTTAATTTATTTGCAATTCATGTACTTTTGGTATCTCATGCAAATGAACAAATATAAGCTTGGTATATGTGTCTAGTTAATTGTTTTCATTTGAAAATCAAATAATACTGTCTTTTATTCCAGTCTTCTGCTCTCTACACCACTTTCGATGAGGTATGTGTGAAGTTTTTTTATTTTTTTTTCTCAATATAGATCAATGTCAGAATTTAAGCACATGTATGTTTCCCATTACTGGAGAGCAGAAGGCACTTTCTTGTGTTGCATAAGACATTATTTCTAATTTTTTTTTTCAAACAGAAGACGATGGACAGAAAACATGTAAAATCTGAAATTTCCAGATAATACCAAAAATAATAGAAATTTTAATAAACAGAGTTAGTTTAATTTCTTCTGAATATTTTTATCTTTAATTTCTTCATCTCGCAGAAACGTTCTGTCATGTTTCCTAATTTCAGTTACTCAAAATAAATGTAAATAAGCACTGCAAGCAGAAATCTTCAATTTTACAACTATCTTGATTTATCTCAAATAATCTGTCACTAATAATTAGGCAACTTGGTTCTTGTGTGGTGGAAATAGTTCCTTAAAATTAGGGAAACCAGTTAACTTGGTGTTTCCTCTTTGAGTGTTTGGCTTTCAGTAATAGGCTTCTATTCAAATTACATTTTTTCTAGATGCTAGCAAAGCATTTGGATAATGAAGAAGTCAACCAGCTCCCCGCAGTTCTTGAGGAGCCGGCCATGGCAAGTGTTTTAAAAGTTTATGCTTTGCTGCTTTGTTGTTTGGTTGGGGTTTCGGTTGGTTTTGGTTTTGTTTTTTTATTATTGGTTGGTTGGTTGGAGGTTTTTTGTTTGGTTTTGTTGGGTTTTTCTTTTGTCCCCCCCTTTTTTTTTTAATACAAGTATAGTTTGCATTGTTTTCTCTATCTAAATGCTCCTTTCCTATAGACATGATCGCATACTTACCTTTCAGAGGTATTTTATATACTGAATGCATTCTATTCAGTATGAATACACATGGAATAGAGTTCTATACACTTGGTGTTTCTACAGGAATTTCTTTGGGATTTCTTGAGCCACCAGGAGGGTCCACGTATAAGAGATCGTTTAAGCCATGGAGAGATCAATCTAGAAGCATTTCCCAGAGAAGTAGCTAATCAGATAGTTGCATTTGCAATTACTCTTCTCTGCAGATTCTCAGATGAGGATATGTTTGCTTTTAAGGTAGGATCAATATGTTCTCAGAAGATTTTTTTTTTCATTTGCTTTGGATGCCAAGTCAATTTCAGAATATCTTATGACTGAATCTTTCCTGGCAGCAATTTTTCATGGAAATGAGGTATTCCTCCACATAAAGATTATGAAAGTATGTTTTTTTTTCTAGTTTTGTAGTGAAATAAGTACAGGCGGTTTTCCTAAAGATTACCTTTTCTCACTTTTTGTTTACTTAATTTGTTTACTTAATTTTGTTTACTTAAACACTCCTGATTCGTATGGTTGATCCAAAAGTTTTAGTGATTCCACTTAATTTTATTTGTGAAATTGTATCAATACCTAGCCTGTTCATATGCGGAATTATCTGGAAGTTTTTTAGAACAGCTGTAGCTCAGCCATGGAGGTATGTAATATTTGAGATTTTTTTTTGTCTCAGAGACACTATATAATGGCATGGTGGTGTGATTTGTATCATCTACATGCTCTGAATTTGTGAACACCTTTTGTCTAGCAGTGCATGTTTCTGAACATTAGCAATTATTATATATTTTCACCCCAGTTTCCTCTTAATATTGGGGATTACTTCTTTCAATATCATACACCAACCTGTGAAATAAATCTTCCATTTATTAGTTGCAGCTCTTGTTAGTGTAACAAGATGTATTGCATGCTGCTGATTAGAGGAGTACTTGGTTGCTTTTCTGTCAGCTGCTGTCAGGTTTCATAGTTAAAATGTGTCAGAGAAATTAAGCTTTAAACACTCAACTGTGCTGATTACTGCTTTCAGCCCTCAGACATTTGGAAGTCTTTATTGACTTCAGTACTATAGGTGGCTTGCATAAAATTAAATATAGACCATGGTCTGTGTATGATTAGGACAGTTTAAAGAAACCTTTGTGTATTGTGTGTGATTTTGTAAATCAGGAACACATGGTCATAAAACCACTGATGAAGTGTGCAAGTTGCTACTGTTCTCGATTTCATCCAATTTCCCGACTCAAGAAACAGGTATGTACTTCCAACTGTGAAAGCATTTCAGTCCTTAAAATTTCTAATCCTTAAGAATGGTCCAGTTGTTGTCTTCTTGCTTTGATTCTATCAAAAAGTTAAAATCTTACATATTTTTTGTAATGTTATCTTTCAGAATTTACAGTTGCTAAAATGAAATGTAATTAAGCACACTACTGTGGATGCAATTGATGCTGTGTTTGTGTATAGATCACTGAATAGTTTTATTCTTGCCTGAATATTTGCTGTTCTGTAGTTTTCTTAATTTCCTTGTGCTTTCTTATATCAAGAGCACTCTGTTTGGTAATGTTGCTGGTCATCTTGGATTATGCTATGACTAATGTTTTTAGTGTGTGAAAGCCAGCTGATTAAGATTCTGTCACTGGAGCAAAATCTGCTTTCAAGTGATGTGACAGTTCTCTGCCGATCACTCTATGAGTTATTGAGCTGCTTGAATATATTCCTCTAGTGAATTGAGATTGCAGTAAGCATACTTTGTGCTTTTAATTTTTGACAGCATTCAAACTGAATTTTACAAAATCTATGGGAAGAAGCAGTAGTAACCAGTTTATTCAGATGATGTTTTAGCATAAAAGTGTACATCAAGACATTTTGACCTAACATGATCCTTAACAAGTGATGTCAGTTTACACAGTTATGACTACTGAGCAAGTACCTTACTGCCTGTTGCGTTTTTTTCTAAAAATGCCACTAAGGAAAATAAAATATATTGTCCTGGCTGTCAAAGGCTATACTTTACATAACATTTTTCATGATATATTTTTAAGGTACTGGAATGTATGAAGAGCATTCACTTATGGCCTGAATTGCCAACAGTGCCTGAAGAGCATGTTCAGACAACTAAAGGGTATGTATATGCAAAAAAAAAAAAAAAAGATAATTCTCAAGGTAGTGATGAAGAATGGGATTTGAGATGGTGAAATGTCTCTTCAAATACTTTACTAGGAAGGTAATAGATACCACAGGGGTTGTGAGAAGACCCCTTTTGCTCTTTTTAGCTTAAGCCGTGCTATACGCATCAGTACAGATAGCATACTGTTGATCGTATAGTATCTTGAAGGAAATGAGAAGACATCTGAAACATACAAAGGTGTTAGTGAGTCCATATTCTATTTCTGAAAAGATGCTGAGGAGTCTCTTAGGAAGTGAAACTAAAACTTAAGTTTCACAATTTAAAAAAAAAAAAGGTGTGCCAGATGTAAAACAGAAAACAATTGCTGATTCTGAAAAGGACTTGGTAACCTCATCAGTGAAAGACTTTACATGAGGTATTACTCATAAAAGGAATGTAATATTCTTATTTGAAAAAGAGGAAGTCAAGAGTAATATCACTGGAGGAAATTATACTTGTTTATAGCTGAGAGAAGAAAATTCAGTGTATCTACCACATACTCAATATGCTGCAGGATTTTGGTGAATGGAGTGTTAAGAGGGCTGAGGGCTTCAAAAGAATGCTGAGACTGAAAAAAAGTTGGATATATTTGGAGAAACAAAATCATGCTTACAAGGTAGAGGGAAAAGAATCACAGTATCAGAGAGTGGGTACTGAATATAACTCTGTCCCCAGAATCTGCATTTTGATCTATGCCATTTGAGAAATAATGAGTACTACACAGTTTTATAATCTCAAATTATTTTTTTTCTTTTGTTTTTAAGATTGGAAGGAAATACAGAAGCTAGTACTTTAATTTTTATAATATCTGAAATTCTATCTCAGTTGCAAGAATACATGCCCCAGAATTGCTGTAGTTCAGATGATCCAATCAATAATGTCCTAACAGAGAGGTGAGTTTCACATCGTACTGATTCCCACTGTCAGCTTCTCCACACATCCCAACACAAGTACTCTCAAACCTGAGTTACTCATTGACTTTTTTTAGAATAGTGCTTGAAATACTGCATGTTGCTGCTGATTTAATCTAAATGTTTTCAGAATGCAGCTGAGCATCATCTTCAAAATGAAAATTGTAGATTTGGGACATCATTACAGTAGAGATTTTACTTGGAAATCTGCATGAGAAAAATGACCATTGTTCTTCCAGACTGGGGAAGCAATATGCCTTAAATATTTATATACTGACTATATTTAGTTGGTTTTACTCTGTTTTGTGTGCTAAAACTGCATCGGAAATTGATTTTAATGTGCTTTGTGTCACAGCTGTGTGTGGCATTTAAAATAATATGTAGCTACATAATTCTATTCTTACATGCTTTAGTATCAAGATTCTGAAATAGAAGATATCTTGTTATACTCTTGTCAGACTTGGAGGTATGTTAGTTCCAATTATATCTGACTTGGAATAATGATCAAAACACTTTTAGTTGTCACTCTTACAGAAGTCTTAAGAGGCCTGTGACTGAATAAATAGATTGGAACAAAACTCCTCCTAATCAAACCTGTTAGGCATGGATAGGATAGTGCAAGGAAGACTTTATCTGTTACTTTACGTAACATAGCATGTGTGCCTTCTGTTTTCTATCTACTGTTCTGCACTTTATTTACGAAAAAGAAGCCCAATTACTAAAGTATTAAACTGTTTATAGAGTTTTCTCCCTTTATCACTTTTAGTCATTAATGTTTTGCTGTCTCAGAGATAATTTGATCATGAGGGAGATTAAGAGACATTTCTTTAAGAACAGAGTATTTAAAGTGATGTGTGACACATTAGGTTAGCAGATCAGAATATGACAGCAGAAAGATAATTGAGTGCTTCAACAAAGCATATTCTGGTGTGGTGTTGATTAAAACAATAGCTCCACCACCTGCATTTTGCGAAATGTGAAATCTGCTTCTTGTTCTTCACAAAAGAAAGACCACACACTAATGGGAGGACTAATTAATGCCATTTGTTTGAATGAGTTTTATTATGGTAGATGTTAATTCATTGTGAGTTGAATTATGGTGGGAGGCTTCAACCCCAACGACCCTACTGCGATTTGATGTGTTCAGTATATCATTTCAGCCAGGCAGTTTTGTTTACTGTGGACATATTTCTTTGATCTGAAATGGGAAACGTATTTATCACCAGAAGTTGTGTATTTAATATTCAGTAAAGCGATAGAGAACACAATCACTACCCCTACTAATAGATACAGATACTTGTGTTTTTTCAGTCATGAGGTAGCAGTAACCTGATTCCAGGTTTTCTGAGTTAAAACATGACTAATCAAACCACACCGAATCTGAATGTATCTCATGTTAAATCCAGCTAACAAAAGATTGAAATTAACAATTCCTTCCTGTTTTGGAGGCTGTTGACTGAACTCTGTGATACACGTATTTGCACACTTTATTCTCCGAGACCTGTTCTGGAAATACTGGTGGTACTCCGTAAAATAAGCACACAGTGCCATCAAGTGTCTGAACAAGTTATTGCCAGCACAGAGTTGAGATACAAACAGTGCGTGAGCAAGACTCTACGTTCTCGTCAGAGGCATAACTATCTACGAATGTTGAGCAGGTTGGCTGATGGTTTTTCTTTACTTCGTGGTTAGGTTTATGAGAAAGTGGCTGCTTGCTGCTGTTGCTAGCTTTCAGTGCTTTGTCTTAGAAGTTTAACATCAACGGTGCTTATGTGCTCTTGTTAACCATTTCAGAGTAAAGTGTCAACCCGGACGTGTGTTTTGTAGTAGTACTGAGATGACAACAAAATCTCAAATTGGAGAATAATTCGTGGGTGTTTTTAGCATTGCTAGATCATTTTACTGTAAATTGTAAGTTTTCAAATAAAAGTGTAGATGCTGCAGTGTAATTCTTAAGTTGCTAGTTTTTCCTATTTAAGCATATAAAGGCGATTCAAATTTTATCTGAATGTAATAGGTTAAACTGCTTTCAAGACCATGCCTACTTTATTTCTACTTTTTATCTTTATGCCTGGGTCAGCATCTTTATAGATATGAGTTTTTTTAGTATTCCATTAATTTTGTTCCTATTCAGAAGTATTTTTCAGGGATTTATGAATCTACTTTAAAAACTGGGAAAATTGTTAATATTGTGTTCTTGGTCAGGTTATGTTCCTAAAAGTGTTAACCATCTTATTTAAGAAGCGTAGCTTAAACTGACAACTTGTGGTACATATTTGCACATCAGTTGACTTCCACTTTGTTATCTGTGGATTAATAGGTGCTGGTGAGGTTTCCTTTGGAATCTTAACTATATGTGTTACTCTTTTTTTTTCCTCTTTTGAGGCTTCATCATTTATAGTCTTTAATTATAATATTGATATTTGCTCTGCTTTTTACTGAAGGACTTTTCATAGTCGTCTCCCCCTTTGTCTCCCACATTATCCAGCTACTTAGGATGGAAGCAGAAGAATTTATTATAGTAATGAATTGTATTTAGTTTGGAGTTAGTTTGTTTATTTTAAAATATTTTTCTTATTTCTAGCATTAAATTTTTGTCTCCAGTGTTGCGGCTCATCTTAGTGTTGATGACTCTGGAACTAGTCAACATTCACTCGGTTTGTAAGAAGAATCCTTCAGATTATCAGCAGTATCTAAAGTGAGTATATAAGTTTACTTTATGAAAACAGGAAATTTTACACATTCCTTTTTGATCTGTAATACAAATTATGTAGAGAAAGAAAAGGAACAGCATGACTTTAAGTACATTATCAACCTTCTTGTCATTATAGTCATCATCATACCTCAGACAATGTTCACTCAAGAACTAAAATAACTGAAAATATATGGTGCAGTTATTCACATTTTTAATTTTTACTAGACTCTTCCTTAGTATAGATAGAGAAAAATCACTCAAAAAAAAAATTTTAATATATAAAAGCCATATTTAAAATTTTTTAGTCCTTGTGTGTCAATTCACAGCTGGTTGGAGGCCATAGGCGTTGTGAAACATTTGCTGAGAAAGGAAAGGAAGCCACTTGGGGAAAATTCTATTACACATTTTATCACTGCATTCTTTCTATGGCAGTGTTCAGTTGCAGTTCTGAAAATTATGACTTGGTACTGTGGGAATGAGGGAGTGGTTCTCTTCTAGAAGTAGAAGAAATCTTTAATGTATTCTCCATCCTGAGGGGGATTTGGAAATTTGGAAACATTAGCCGCTTTCCATTAGGCATTGAGATATTTTTCTTTATTTTATTTTTCCTTTTAAATCCTTTCTTGAGTTTGTATTCTTTTGTCTTATTTCTTGTAGGTTTTTGAAGTCAGTGTTGCAGTATACTGAGAACTTGGTGACATACACCAGCCCCAACAAAAACAAGTGGGATGAAACCCTGGAGCTTACAAACAAGACTTTGATAAAAATCAAGAGAATCAGTGACAGAAAGCTAATGTTAATGCAGCTAGCTACATAATGGCTTTAAGGTTATTTGGACATTGTTATATCTTAAAAATTATGGAGTCCTCAAGTTTGATGAGTCTAATTCAAAGTCAGACATCATGAGTCACTGTCAAAGTTTGGATGCAAAATTTACTCTTTTTATTCGAAGGTGACTGTTGAGACTGGAGTTGTTATGATCAAGCTTCTGAAGAACAGACTGTTTGCTAAATCCAGTGATAAAGATTTACTGAACTAAATCAGGATGATGCAAGTTCTACTTTATGTGTTTTGTAGCTTGGACTTTTGTTGTTTGGTTGTTTTCTTGTCATTTTCTATTGTTATTGTATTTTTCTACTGAAAATATTGAAGAAGAGGGTGTGAATTAAAGCTCTGGAAAATTTTAAATGCAAAAAGTAATTTTTTACTTTAAAATATACTGGAAATTATGTTAGACACTGGCAAACGGGTTAAGAAATGATGAACGTTTAGCAGAAGGTAGTGTTCATTGGCAGCTGTGCTGCTTGTTAGTTCAAAACAGAATCGGATCTTGCACTGAGGTAGAGCTGATAACGTAGTAACCAGCTGTTGATGTACTAGGATTTAAAGGAGACAGGGTGGAATAACTTTTGCACAATATGTGTTTCTTTAATTTCATCTGCTCTTCCCCAATAAATATCTAGTTAGTTAGTAAATAATCTCCTTCAGAATAAATGAGCACTTGTACGTAGTCACAGTCACAAATGTATTATGGTTCAAAAAGTTACCGTCTTGTTGCACACAACATCAATTTGAATAACTTGTTTTTTCAAAATAAATTCTTCCCCTTTCTCATCTCCAAAGAGTAGAATTTCAGAGGAATGCAGCAGTTGAAGAACAGATTCACGAAAGATCCCCGATCTCTATCCATTTGCTTTCTCCTGAGGAGAGTAAAACCAGAGGGTAATGTCTGGAGAATGTTTGGCTATACAAAGGATCACAGATTCAAGTTACTTTTTAATAAGATTCTTTGCAGTGTTTCTTGACTGGAAATTACAGTGAGAGAATTACTAGTTTGGTTTATTTGGTGTGGGAGATGGAGAAAATCATATTACTTCCTTTATGTTAATTTTGCAACGTATTATGTGTATTTGGAATCAACTATTGTCACTTTCCATGAGTTTTTTTTTTGTTACTGTGGAAATATATGATGTGAAGAAGTGTGAACTAGCTAAGAAAGATAAAAACTAGGAATAGAGAATAATGAATTAAACGCAGCGTATGAGCAACAGTCTGAAATTTCGGCTCTTTTTAAAGTCTGAGTTGGCAAATCCTCATTATATTTTTGAAAGCTGATTTTGTACCCATTGACTGCTCAGACATGTTAACATCTGCTAAGTGTAGGTTGGTAGGGACATTTATGACGACACTTGCTTTGATGGTGGTAAATGTTGTAAGGCAAAAAATTTATTTAAGTTTTACATATTTATTGTAGGAAAGAGATCAAGAAATCCAAACACAGAGTCATGGTTTAAAAGTACATTAACAGCTGACCTGCTCTCTCCTTTTGGATGTATATTTATGTACTGAAAAGCACCTTATAGACCACAGATGTATATTTTCAGCAATATAAGTTGTCCTATATGTAAACTTTGCTAAAATGATCTTGCATGTTGTTCTCTTCATATGCTTTTACTTAAGATGGAGCACCTTGATAGTTTCTCTTTTATTAATTAGCACCATGGATGGGATTTGCTGCTTTAAGTCTGCAGTAAGAAACGTGATGGACCTGGCAATTTTGTCAATGATGCTTTTCCAGTTTGTTTTCCTACCTTTGAAGCTCTCTGATGGGAATGCTTCTACCATCTCTTGAACAAATCTGGAGCAGGCTGAGACAATCCAATTTATTCTGACTTAATGCTGTCATTTACCAGTAGAGCTACATGCAGGGCTTATAGTTTCTCCCTGGTGTTAAAAGACTTGCAGAATAGAGCTGCAGAATAAGTGTATATTCTACAAAGCACGCTAAAGAACAAATTGCAAGAGACATGGTAAAGATCATAGGGTTTGTCCTTTATCAGTTACTTGAACTGACTTCTTCAGTTTAAACCATGGCAGGTAATCTTTGCCATCTGTTTGGAGTCAATTTGAGTTTTAAGAACTGTCGTGGTTTAAACCCAGTCAGGTAATTCGTTCGCTCACTTCCCCCCCTTTTCTTGCCCTCCCCCTGCTCTCGGAGGGAAGAATCTCCCACGGGTTGAGATAAGAACAGTTTAGTAACTAAGGTATAACACAAATCACTACTGCTACCACCAATGATAATAATGATAAAGGAAATAACAAGGGAAGAGAATACGATACCACCGGCCAAGAAAATGAGTTCCACCCGGAAGCCCCTGTCCTTCCGGGTAACTCCCAGTTACCCCTCACCCCGGGCATGACGTGCTGTGGTATGGAATACCTCCCCGGCTAGCCCGGGTCAGGCGCCCCGTCTCTGCTTACCCACAGCCTCCCCTCCTCCCTGGCAGAGCATGAGCCTCACAAAGTCCTTGGCCAAACCAAAATATCCTTGTTATCAGCTCTGTTCCCGAGCTGAAAGTCAAAACACTGCACTGCACCAGTTAACACAAAGGAAAAACATGACTGCTACTGCGGAACCCAGGACAAGATATTAGAAAGAATCTTGACTGTGAACACTCAGTATTCCTAAGAGCAAAAGAAGCTTGTAATAAGCAAGGGCATCCAGTGGGTACACGCATGAGTAATGCTGACAAAACACATCATGTTTAAATGCAAGTGTTCTGACTTCTTTTTGTCCTAATCAGAATAAATTCTGGAGCTGAGCTGTCCAGAACTGTGTAGTCATCCATTAGCCATTCAAGTAGCTGTTCAGCCTTTTTTCAAAATTCAGTCTTTCCTGCAGTTTTGGCTGCCCATGGCAGAGGGTTTGAACTATATGATCTTAAGGTCCTTTCCAACCCAAATCATTCTATGGTTCTATGATTCTAATTTCAAATACCTAGAATTGTACCAAAGAATGTTTTCTTACAAGGTGTTCTTTCATCTGAGTGTTACTTGCAGTTGTTTTAGTCATTGGCTTTCTGCATAGATGTAGAATCTACAGCATCCTCCAAGGAAGGTTGTTGAAATATTTTGTTTACCTGGATAATGCTGATGAAGGAGTAAAGATTCTTCAGTTGTTTCTTCTGAGTTCAGTTAATCGATTCATATGTGTGTCCATATGTATTAATTAAAAATAGCTGATATTTGTTCCTCGTACTTCATGATCTTACAAGCTAATGTTAGACATCCCAAGTCAAAGAATTTGTGACAAAAGTTTTAAAAACGTGTCATAAAGAAAAATCAGGTATCCATCTTTTTTTACTAAATCACTGGAATTTCTTTGTCTCTTCTTGAATATCCTGGTTAGATGAGAAGAGGAGCATCTGTAATCATACTAGCTTTTCAGTAGGGAGGTGCAGTTCCCCTGCCTGCCTTACACCTCAAGGGGAGTTTTCAGGTGAGAGATTGTGTGAAATAATAATAAATAGAATACTCTTAATTCAAGTTGGAATGGATATAGTTTTCAAGTAAGAGTAGTAAGTTTTGGTACCTTCTACAAATCATAAAGATGAAGTTTGCTGAGATGGGCACTGCACAAATACAATGAAACATCAATTATGGTAGGCATCTGGCTTGTCCATGATTCTCTCAGTCATTCTCTACTTGGTGCTCTCCATGATGATGATAGGAGGGGTTACAAACAGAAGCATGTGTTCTTATACAGCTGTAACACAAGTAGCTAGAAGTACTTGCAACTTTTTTTGAGGTTGTCATCACTATTGCATTATACAGAAACATGTAATAGATAGAGCAACAAATTTGATCTGCTTTATCTTTTAGTATCTTTTAATATCTCTATACTAGCTCTTTTCAAGCAGCCTGATAGTCTTTGAAATGATCACATGGTGGCAGTGTTTGGTAATTCAAAAATAGCATTGCATCCTGACATATTTCTTGCCTCTTAGAATGTGTGTGAAGAAATCAAGTTTTTGTCTGATTTCATCATCTTTGTTATATGTGTCTTTAATTGTGGCCACTGCTTCTGGTGCTTTCTCTCCTCATTTGTTTCAGATCCCTTGAAATCAAACACCTCTGACAAAGTTTTGCAAACAGCGTTTTTATAATTAGGTAGAGGTTCATCACATTCACTGCATTATTTGCTGAAGTTTTCAGCTTTTCCAGAAATTCATCAACTGCCCCTTTCCTCATAGAGAAGAGAGTGGATTTCATAAATAAGCTTATTTTTGCGTGTTACTGTTTATTACAAAACATATGAAGGTATTGATAACTCGAGATTGTCCTTTGCTAATTGATGTGGTATCATGAAAAATCTTATCTCAAAAGCAAAATACATCTTTGAACAAAAATAATAATTGTCAAGGAATGTGTTTATTGAGAAAATTGCTCTGAGGTCTTAGCCTTATTGCTGTGTTAATGATTTTTCAGTCTGTTAAAACTGAAATGTGCTATTCATATGCCACCCTATGAAGAAGATATTAGTTGAGCATTGCTTGTTGGGTGGCCTTTGAAAACCTTGTCCACAGTAGCACTTTCAAACCATGCAGAGGGGTTGCAGTTAAAAAGGATTTTCTTTCACATTAAGTAATTTTTGTACACTGTGAAATCTTGTGTAGGAATGTTGGAGCATCCCCAGCAGAGCTTGTTTTTGCCTTACACTGCAATAATGCATCTGGTCCATGTATGGTGTCTCACCTTTTTTTCATAAATTGGTCTGCAGATGCAGAGCAGATTGCTGGCTGGCATAAACTATTCCTTTCCCATCTTCATCAGTGCAGATCCTTTACTCCACTAAGGATCTGCCCCATGCTGTTTGGGTTTCCCTTGAAGTCTATTGGTTCCTATCTGTGCTGCTTTTTCAGGCTTGCATATTTTCAGGGAACTGGAAGAAAGAGCTATGTATTTCAGATAAAATTTCTGTATAGCAAAGCCTAATTAATTTAGTGGCTTACTTCACAGGGAACTGAGGATCATGTGTGGGGCTTAACAGCTCTATACCAAATACTTGATGCTTAAATATTTCCGTGTTTCAGAAAGGACTTCACCTAGAGTAGAAATCAGTTTTCTTTTTGAGGCTTTCTCAGGAGCAATACTGTAGGTTAAGTCACCTGATTTTTGTTTTTTAAAAATCTTCAAGGATAAATAAAGATCTGTTATTTAAGAAGCCTTTTAAGTCATATAGGTTTTCAGATAGAAATTGACTGAAATGAAAATGCCCGTTGTATGCCTTCCCTGGGCCCCAGGCAATAGGATGTAAATATGGGTAGTGAATACTGCGTGAGATCAAACTGGCATTTTTTTCTGAAGGTGAGAATCCAAGACAATATATACAATTAAAGCCTACCAAAAGGAGTCCATGCCTTCTGGCATTCTCCACTGAATACCTTCTCTGTTCCTCTCCCATGTATATGCATCTCACAGTTTCTCTAAAAAAAAAAAAAAAAGAAAAGCATAGTAGAACCAGCCAGTGCCAGTTTGTTTTCCATGTTTTCTTTTCTGTGTAAGGGATTAGTTGTAGTAACAGATTTCATGTGCCAGAAAGTGGGTGAACATTAACTATTTTGTCATGCACTGATCCTTCCCACAGCCCTGCAAAATTTGAAATGCAGGAATGGTTATTCATTAACATTTCTTTGTGTCTACAGGAAGTACATTTACTATGTAAACATGTTTTATATAGAACATACAGCTGTTTTGAACAAGCACTCAATGAGACATAAGAGTACAGTGCCTACACTGCCACTTCAGAAACTCTGAGATACCACAGCATTGTGTTTTGGAAGAGTGAACACACAAAGACACTGCCTGGAAAACTGAATGCTGAAAGTTTCTTTTAAAGCCAAAAATCTTTCCTTTAATTGGTTTGATTTTTTTTTTTTTTTTCCCTCTGAAATGTCTGCACACTGAACTATTGACATGCAGTCAATATTTTGAAGTGGGGTGGCTAGGGGTGTGTTTCTCAAGTTCCTTTT